CCTCCTTTGAAAGACAGAGGGGTGCATGGAGAGGTTGAAAGAAATAGAAAGAATTAGCATCCGTCTTCAAGAACGTGGCGCGCGCTCCTGCTATTTTTACGTTTCTTCTCCGTCCCTCTCCTTATGCTTACCTCGGGCGGTAGGTCCGTGATGCCAAAGAGCTTGAGCAGGCCTTGGAATTCGCGGCTCCGGTCCATCACTCACGTGTGTAGGGAAATATCTTTCCTGGCTCACCAGCGTCCAAAAGCTCGTACTTCGGAAGCTCTATGAACTGCGTGGAAGTAATAAGAGGGGCAGGACCAGGAAGCCGGCGGACTGCCTCCTCAGGTCGGGAAGAGTGGAAATGGGCGTAAAATCAAGAGGGCGAGCCAATCCGTGCCAGCGCAAATCGCTTCCCTGTGTGTATAGATGCGTTTTCGTGAGAATGAGGGTGTGGTGGCGGTTTAATGGACATGCCTGCGTTTCCGGAATGGGTCTAGGGCGGACATGGGCATGACGCCATCATGCTTCTGCGGACCCGCCGCACTCGACGTGCCCTATTTGTCCCCCTTAATTGACGCAATCTGTGGAAGAGTTGCGATGCGCGCCTACGTCTCGTTGTTGAAAAATATTTCGACGGTTATGAATATCTAAAGGAAGGTCGACGGTGTTTGGAAGAGGTGGTCTGGAGACTCGAGACGCCAAAAGCGACACACGGAGAGCTCGTTTTTACACAGTGAAGAGAAACTCCATGAAAACGAACTGGGAAACTGCGCTGGTAAGTGATGTACGTACAAACAAATTTCATTCATGTCAGGAAACTGACAGATGGTGGATTCGGGAACAAAACGTGAGATGTTTATTATAAAATTCTTGCTGGCGCGATCTCGAGATATGAGACGTGCTGCGAAGGCTCACGTTCCAGGCTTTCCTTGCACATTCATCGCCGCAGATAACAGAACACCTGGTACTGGTCCCGTACCGAAGGAAGTACGTGCATCGGTATCACGAATGGATGAAAGACCCGTTTTTGCAGGAATCCACGGCCTCGGAGCCTTTGACGCTGGAGGAGGAATACGCGATGCAAGCGTCCTGGAGGGACGATGAGAAAAGTGAGAGCCTGCTCAACATGTGAATATGGGGTTTTAATGGTGCCAATCTCTTTCCCCGTTTTTTCGTCTCGGCGCTTTGCGTGGGCTCACCTTCCGCAGGGTCAAGTCTTCCTTCTCACGTCCTCTATCGTTGCCGTGCAACGGCCATCGCTCTTACTCGTGGCACTTTCATTCAACATCCATGAGCTCATCTCGCTTCTCTTACCTACCTTTCGCCATGATCCCCCCATAGAGTGTACCTTCATCCTCCTTGACAAGACCCATCCTGCCGCCTCACCTCCTCTCTTCGCTCCTTGCACCATGGTCGGCGACGTGAACCTCTTTTTCAATGATCCAGATGGTGATATGGGCGTGGCGGAAATCGAAATTATGATTGCTGAGCCCACAAGGAGAGGGAGGGGGCTTGGGATGGAGGGGGTGGAAGCGATGATGCAGTACGCCATAGAGGCACTGGGGGTCCGGCGCTTTTATTGCAAAATCTCCGACAGCAACGTGGCGAGCCTGCGCATGTTCGAAAGGTGGGCCCTAAAGGAAAGGGAAGTGGGCGCGTGGCTGCAGGCACCAGCATGTATTGTCTTAAGTTGCTTGAGAGTCGAGCACAACTATCTTCGGCAAGCGCCTACGTGGGATGGACGCCCTGATCTCATCCTTTTGGCGCACTGAACTTACCTTTTCGAGCGTACTGATTTGGTATTCATCTCCCTTCTCGTCGCATTTTCCCTTGAAATATTCAGAATCGGGTATGTGCGGGTGGCGTACGTAGCAGCTTTCAAGGAGGTGGAGCTCGAGTTTCTGATCAGGGAGGACCAGGATTGGCAGCAGAAAATCTGCATTTTGCGGGACAATCTCGGCAAGGGCGGAGGAGTGTCCATGGTACCGTATCGTGATGAGGAGGGAGGGAAGGAAGGTGACTAGAGAAGGCCGGCATGGAGGGTCGTGGAGTTCACGCCATAATCCCATGTCATCGAACTGCTGCTGGGCCCAAGGTTCGCGTTGATTCCCTACAGAGGCCTCCGCGTGACCTTCCTGCCTCGCAGCGCCCGTGTCCGATCGTTCTGGGCCCTCGAAAGGCGCCCCTGGTCTGCTCGTGCACATACGGGGGGAAGGAGAAGATGCTTATCAGACAGAGAGCTCCATTAGCGAGGATTTTGAGGATACAGAGATTCAGTCTACAAAACGGAACATCCCACCTGGCTCCGTGGCATCTCTCGCACGAGGGAATATCGTCTCCAGCGGCATGCTTGACACCACGGCCTAATCGTGCCTGGGAAGGAACGTGGTCATGCCAAGAGCATGTTCGTGTGATACTGAATGTTTCGGAGTAGGAGCTTCTCAGCACGCTGCATTGGAGGGATTTCTATGGCATTTGCCTGGCCCTTTTGTCTCCGAGGTGCCAGGCGGCCTTCATGCACGGTAGACAGCTGGTTGTAGATTCCCTGGTGTGTTCGCGATCTGGGAATGCAAGCTTGTTTTGAAACGTTGGCTCGATGAATAATTGATTTGCCCGAAGGAACGGCAAGGTCACTGCAGGACTGAATAATAATATCCCAGGACAGATGAAGAAAGAAATGTAAATCCCGATGGGTTGAGAGACTGAGGGGGACAAACTGGCGCGGAATATATATGGAGGTAGGAAAATGTACAGGAGATGAGGAAATGAAGCGGCGCCACAGCAACAAGCACTTGAAAAGAGTGGGTTCAGATAATAACACATTGTGGTTTTTTTTTCCCATGCTCCTTGTTTTGCACAGCAGGAAGAGTGGTTCATAAGGAAGTACGCTCTCAGAGTGAGCAAGCGCAATAATGGTGCCGGTTTGTTGATAAAATTCGGTCATATTAGCTGTCTTAGGGCTCCAAATATACCCTCAGCTCCTCTCTTATACATAAATAGCTTCCAATTTATCAATTGTCGGCCAAAGCAGAACATTTGCCGTCAAAGCAACAAGGAACGTACGGACTGGCATCTCTGCCCGCGATCCCCCCCAGGACGATTTACGTTTTTCAATTTAGCCGCATGGGATCAAAAACCACATGGTGCACTGTTCTTAGCCTGTTGCAAAGGAACAGACTGCGTGATTGCGTGTGGGTAGCGCAGACGTATGGATTGGCACCGAATTTTATGAAAGTTTTGCGGTTCAGCGCTAACAAAGCTTTCATCTCGTTCCTGCTCGTCTTCGTCGTTCCCACGAGCCCTCTCTGTGTTCCGGTTCGTAAACCCTGCATGCTATTAGTTCTTAACTCGTCCACGAACGGCTTTTCCTCCTCGTACAATTTGTAAGACAGAACCTAAAGGTGCTTTACAGAGCGCCAACATACCCCCGGGCACCATACTTGCACATCGCGCATGCAAAGCATCTGCCCCCCAGGGCCCTCCCTCCTCGTTGCTTCCACC